AGAATCTGTATTGGCAGTAAAATAAAATGAAGATAAGCAGCTCCTGATACAATTTTGAACTGACTATACTTCAAATACATTTTCTTCCTTTAGTATTCTGTTCACTTGCTCCTTGCCTGGATTATAATGATACATTTAGAAAACCTGGCTTGTTTCTTCCTCTTTTTCCAACTTCAATAACTTTCCACCTTGAATGGAACACATCTAGACTGAAGACATAAGTGACACTCAAACAGGTGACCTCTTTTTGTAAGTGAAACCATAAACATGACTTCTGGGTTTGTGCTTGAAAATAGCTCAGGAGAACATAATACAGTGCAAAAGCCATTGAACATTACCCAGAAATAATAAGTCCTTATGTATTTTGTCTGCAAGCCATACTGTATTCATATTTCTGCAACCTTGGCTTTCACAGGACAACTTGAACACTAATTAAACGTTACCAGTAAAGCAGGGCCAAAAGAACTAGGTAAATGGGAATAACCTACAGAGGCTATTTATAAGGAATATCCTTGATAATCTCCAGACCTGAGACCTCCTAGGATATAATAGTATCCCTCAATTCTTAAAAAACAAACCAAAACCTTTCACCAGGTTCCTGCTCATTACCCCCTGGAGTCTGCAGAGGTGGCTTTCATGCAGCTTTCAACTTAAGGAAGCTTATTTTCAGTAATGAATGTTTAGAAAGCATACACATAATTAAAATACTAAAATGCAATAAAAAGACAATGTGAAAATTTCTGCATTATGTGCTCCATTTATTTTCTTGCATTTTCCTGTAGGAAAACTGTTACACAAAATAGACTTTCTTAAAAGACCAGTCTAACTATTTCTAACCCGGTACGAGTAAAAAGTATACAATGAATTTGGAGCTGATAGGAAAAGGGCTGAAGCAAAACAAGTGATCTGAAAAAATTGCTGTGACTTATTTTGTGGAAAATTTAGAAATAAAGCAAATTCATTGCTTAGGGATGTGCTTTTTCCTAATGAAAAAAGATTTAACTAACATTTTTCAGATATCCTTCTTGGTGGGCACTCTGAATCTTTTTTGATTTTTTTGATTTAAGATAGACTGCTACAGTAATTATCTTTTCCACTTTCTTTTCTTTCAGTAGCATAACTCTCTTCATAAGTAAATGTCCCAACAATGTTTTATTGGAAAATAATTAAATATTGCATTACACTAAAAACTGTTTAACATTCAAGGTTGACTTAACGTCTAACATTGGTGTATACTTTTGCTTGAAAGTTTTGAGTTCTGCTAAGCTTGTTAAAGCATAATGTTCATCTAGTTATGAAATTTGCCTTTTTTTTTTTCTCATGCAGTTTGTTTTTTTTTTCCCGTTTGGCATACTACAATCTGTATGTCTGTATTTTGAAAGTAGATTAATTTTTTCCCCACTTTCTGCAATTATAAAGACAAATCATTTCTTGACTTTACAAAAAGCTTTAAGGGAAAGCTGCATAAAAATAGCCACAGAATTTCACTTCATGAATATAAAATATACCTTGTTATACCTAATCAGCAAGAGACCATGCAACCACAGAAAAAATACAATGTTGGAATATCAATTTTTCATTGATTTGCCGCAATGACCACAAGATGGTACAGTGTAAGGTCTTGAGGGAAAGGAGGAAGAGGAGTCCAAGCTAAAAGCAGGCTTTAGCTTATCCAGGGCACTGGTGGGCAGGGTCCTGTGAGATGCAGTTCTTAAAGGCCAGAGCCCAGCAGAGCCGGGTAATTTTCATGAAGAGCCTCCTCCAAGTTTCAGAATGGTCTACTCCAATCCACAGGGAAGGAGGCACGCACAGGGGGACACCAGTGTGCCTCCACAGGGAACATCTGACCAAGATCCAGCCCAGGGATGGAGTTTGCAAAGCTCAGCTGGCACTGAAACCAGTACAGGATGTGAAAGGTAACAAGAAGGGCCTCTCCAGGTACATCAGCAGTGAAAGTCAAGGGAAATATGAACTTTCTGCTAAATGGGGTGGGCAGCCTCATCATAGAATGGTTCGGGTTGGAAGAGACCTTAAAGATCATCTAGTTCCAACCCCCCTGCCATGGGCGGAGAAATCCTCCACTACACCAGGTTGCCCAAAGCCTCATCCAGCCTGGCCTTGAACACCTCCAGGGATGGGGCATCTACAACTTCTCTGGGCAACCTGTTCCAGTGCCTCACCACCCTCAGAGTGAAAAATTTCTTCCTTATATCTAATCTAAATCTGCCCTCTTTCAGTTTAAATCCATTGCCCCTTGTCCTATCACTACACGCCCTTGTAAAAAGTCCCTCTCCAGCTTTCCTATAGGCCCCCTTTAGGTACTGGAAAGATGCTATAAGATCACCCCGGAGCCTTCTGTTCTCTGGGCTGAACAGCCCCAACTCTCTCAGCCTGTCTTCATAGCAGAGGTGTTCCAGCCCTCGGATCATCTTTGTGGCCCTCCTCTGGATCCGCTCCAGCAGCTCCATGTCCTTCTTGTGCTGGGGAATGAAGGACACTGAAAAGGCCCGAGGTACTTGATGCTTTCTTGGCTTTGGTCTTAGTGGCAAGGTCTGCCACCCTGGTCCCTGTGCTTAGTGACAGAATTTAGGGAACAGAAGTACTACTCATGGCAGACAAAGACTGAATCAGGGATTGCTTAGGCAAGAGGGACACTTAAAAGTTCATGGGCCTAGATTTAAGGCTGGCAAGGCAGTTGGCTCCTGTCTTGTAAAAGCTGGTCTCTGTCATCTTTGAAAAGGCACTAGTTAAAAACTGAAACATCTGGCCAGTGTGGTTGTGAAATCTTCAGCTTTGGAGATGTTCAAAACTTGACTTGACAAGTGCTGAGCAGCCATGTCTAACTTCGACACTAGCTCGCTTTGAGCAAGAGGCTGGACTGGATGACGTCCAGAAATCCCATCTCAATTCTTCTATGATGTTGCGATTATGCCCATTGCCTAACCTACGCATCTAAAACATGCTCATTGCTGACCACAAATACACTGCTAGCAGCTGGAAAACAAGATTTCAAAATTTGCTTCCACGTACATTGAAAACTGAAAGCAAGCTTTTTCAAAGTTGCAGATGACTCTAACCCATATGAAAACCTTCTATAACACAGAAGAGATTTACTGTTTCATTGGTGTAAAGAACTGCTTCTGCTATGGTGTCAGGACTGTACAGTGACAGTGTATAATCATTCCAGGCGTCCCCACTGGCATGAAAAGAAAGCTCTTAATTTCAAATGCTCTAATATACAATCTCAACATATTTCACTCGGAGCCTCATCAAAGAACGAGTCTCTTTCAAAATCCCAACAGCAGACAGATTTTGAGAGCAGAGGCAGAATTAGAGTGCAAGAAAAGTGTCACCAAAAGCTTCCCCTGGAATGCAACGACACTTAATTTAAGACGCTACCTATGGAGTCAACATAATTGGGAAGGGGGACATTCGTATTCAGCTTCTCATTTGAAGGCAGATTCAGCCACACAATAAACCCAGCTTATCTCAGGCCTAATCAGTCTATTTTCCTTGTTGTTATTACTATATATTGTTGGCAGTGGAGAAATGAGATAGAGATCCTAATTCTAATTACTCACATATCAAAGAATCAGGGAAAGAATGAAGACTGCAATATGATCACTTCATGAAGAAACGAAGATGTTAAAAATGAGTTTAAGACCCACTTGTGAGTCTTATGCTGATGGCCAATACAGAGCATAGGACAGAAATTTATTAGGAACAGGACAGTTCCTGCAGTTCATGGGGTCTCTGTCACAAACCCCAGGAATGTCGAAGTCCCCTCTTAATGTGCTGTGTTTCTGTTAGTTGACTTGCTGGTTAACGCTTTCATTAAAAAATCTGAAAACGTATTGTATTTTGTTCAAACCTGCCTAACACAGATAAAGGCATTAGTATGGCTGGTATCTTTATACCATTGCTGTGTCTCCTTGGGAAGTTTGCTTCACAGCTGAATCCCCAGCAAATGAGCAGACATATGCTCAGAATGTGATCTGCAAGAGGACTACAACTACCAGGGCACCTCCTGCCCAAATTTCTGGAAGCAAATGTGACTTTTCAAAATTACATAGGTAACACTGACAACACTGACAGCTACCAGATCTAAGGAGAGGTACCTGCACAATTAAAACTTGAGTATCTCCAAGGACTTGATTAGACCCACCAATTCAGAGCTTATCCAATGAGAAGGAAAATACAGAAACAAAACTGGTGACCAGCAACCAGGCTACTGGAATTTAAAATAATGGGGTTTATGTTTAATTTTTTAATTAATAGTAATTTTTCTATGCAATGCACTAACAGTTCTTGTTGCTTAAAACATAAAGATTTTTATGTCAACATCACATCTTTTTCTACATCCTGAGAGTCTGTCAGTCCCTGTCCTTTCTTTCCTTCTACACCCCATTACAAATATTGACATTTCTCCTTTCCTGCATTCCCCACAGTCATTTTTTGTCTTTTTTTTCTGCCTCTGATCTACACTGTCCTGCCTGCTTTTCTCACAAAAACTCATCTACCTGCAAATCCACCCAAACACTCTTCGAGCTTCTCTACATAGTCCCATTTGCATGCACCCATTCGCTCTCAAAACTCACCCCACCGCATTTTCTTTCCTCTTCACAGAAGACAGACCTAACTCAACTTTCTTCATGTGAAAAAAGCAATAGAGTAACTGACTGGAGCTGCCTTGCTCTAGGAATTCTCTTTTTAACAACCAATATAAAAAAATAAATACCAGGAGAAAACTATTTCTCTTTTGATATCCAAGTATTTTGGAGCTGTTCCAACATCTTATCATATTTTTTCAACTACTCAGAGGACATTGAAGAGGACACTTCATTTCAATACTAATATACTTCACCATTCTTCGTTATGACTAAAGTAACATTATTTTCTCTTTTCTCAGCCATGAGAAGGCAAGGCTTGCTGTATTATCAAAGGACTGCACAGGCAATAAGCCACTGGGTTCATAGTTTAAGTGACAGGACATCAACTACCTGACAAGGTCGATGACTCTCTCCCTTGGAGCAGTGCTGACTGGCTCATCATTAATCATTATGATCTGATCCCCTGGTATAAGCTTTCCTTCAGAGGGGCCGCCTGGAGACGAATGAAAAAAAAGAAAGCACAGGTTAGTAGACCATTGTAAATGCACAGACACACTCTGTTCTTCACATGCTATGACTGGTTTTTTTTCCTTCAGTTAATGGCATATTTAGCACTAACACTATTTCTGACATTACCAGTACTTCCCCACCAGGAAAATCTTGAAAGCTAGTGGCTTAGCTAGTGGCTTTCTACTGAAGTTCCCCAAGTTAGATTCCAAAACCATATCTAGGCACCTAAATATAAGGGCTTGATTTTCTGGAGGGCAAAAAGGACCCATAAGAGGTGGCCTAATTCACCCTTTAATGTGTGATCAACCATACCTTACACATCCCTGGTCAATGTTTGTCTGATATTCTTGTAAGACCACCCTGAGGATGACTCATTTTGCTGTAAATAAATGATCCTGTTTAACTACTGTTAAGATCAGCAAGTCTTTTTCCCCAGTGACTACACCAGCTCTTCCTTGTTGCAACACATTGTTTCCTGTCCCAAGCAAAGTAACACTGGAGAACATCTTATTCCTTCTTCCTATGAAGCATCACTTACATATTGACAGTCATTCGCAGGTCTTTCCTCTGACTTTTCTGTTCTGGGCAAAACAAACCTGTTTCCTTCAATCTGAAGACGGTAAGTTTCTATACCTCCAATCTCTGAGTCTCTTTTCCTCTGGATTCCTACCACTTGGTGAACACAAGTTTTGTGTACATCCAAAAGCACTGTCACTTTCAGTTAGACACAGATATTTAGCATTAGTCTGAGTAGACAAACAGACATGTATATGTCTATGTGGATTCTGATGCTGTTAAAATGCATATTGAGTTTGTGCTTTATAAAATGCACATAACACTTTGCTTCTCAGCATGATTACATGCCCAGAAGAGGGTATGACATTACAACTGCTAATGAAAAGATATATTCTCTCCAGTCGTCTGCCTTTAAACTGCAATGATGATACATAGAAAAACGATAATATTACCAATATGAAAACAAAGTCTTAAAAGAAAATATATCATTATCAAAACCAATTCATTTAACAATTAAGCTAACGCTGTTCCTTTCCTCTGGTTGGTTTGAAAGCTTTACTTCACATATCCAGCATAAACGGATGCAAATCCACAAATGCTGTCCTGAACTCATCTTTCCTCCTATTCCCTCAGAACAGAATAAACACATTTTCCAAACTGAACTTTAACATGAAATTATATTAATAATGCTAACTTGTGAGAAAAGAACCATCTGGATCTAGTTCAAATATTAGTTACAATCCTCTTTTCATCTGAAAGTAATACAAATATAATCAATGGACACACGTGGGTAAATGACATCAGAACTTCACCAAAGTCGATTTTGCCTCTCCTCTGCTCTCCCTGGGTGTTCTGGAGAACATATCGAACAAGAGCAAAGTCAAATCCCTGCCCTTGGCTCCAAAGCAATTTTATGTAACTACTGAACTTTAAAGCATCGAGAGCAGGAGCCCAGTATTTAGGAGACTGAGTACTCCCAGGTCTGGTCCCCCATAAATTCAAAAATACCAGAAACCTCACTAATTTTCACTGCAAGTAAGACATTTAGGGATCTATTTTGACCTGGCTTTTTGCTACATAGTTATCCAGAAATATTAATTAAAAAAAAATAAAATAAAAAGCCAGTAATACCATCCTTTTCCAAAACCAAATATTATAGTTAGAAACAAACATTATAGTTAGAAAGCTAGTTTCTCCTTGAGAAGCTGATGATAAAAAGAATGAAAAATATGTAAGTTTGAATCTTGCAACTCAACATACCTCTTGAAAACACTGATTAAATGGCAATGAAGGTGACATCAAACCAATATAAACATAATAGGGAGAAGACCTTCTTTCCTTGACTGAAGTGGGTCAACTTTTTTCAGGCAAACAATAGCAATGGCTCAGAGCAATAACCTAAAACTGGCTTTTTGTTAACACATTTCCATAACGTTCAAAAATGAGTGCAAGGAGTGAAACTACTCAGTAATACAAGACTTAATATCCTACCTAGTATTTATGGTTACTTTGTCTGCCTGATTATTTTAACAGTACTCAAATTTGTAACTGTATTTCACCTCAGGAGATTAAGTTCAAGTTTGCTTTTGGGGTCAGGTGGGGAAAACATACCTGGTGTTACTGAGCGTACAACAACTGGCTTTTCACTACCAGCCACAAACCCAAATCCCAGCACAGGATCCCTCCTCATTTCGACTTTCCGAGGGGCTGGAGGGGTTATTTGGCAGCTCTCTATTCGAGGGTCTTCAAATGTGGCTGATTGTGTCATGTGACTGTGAAACAAATAAAAGATGGAAAAGGGAAAAAAATCATTAAAACATGATTTTGTGGTATCTATTTGAGCCAAGCAATTTCTGCAATGATATGAGATGAATACCTGAAATGTTCTCACTACAGGAACTAAAACATTAACTTAATAATTTTCTCTGAGATTTTCTTATACACATATTAATAATGCTGCTGGCAGGTCTCAAATACTAATCAATAGTATCAGCCTATAAAGAGGTCTCTCTTTGACAGCATACATTTAATCATACTCCATATACGAAAGAAAAATAACCCAACAATAAAGGCTTTGTCATCTGTACTTGAATTTCTTATCCTTCATTTGTTGGAAGGGAAATATAATAGTGACTACTCATAATGTAAAACATAACTATTAGAGTCTGCCAGCCTTTTGCAAGAAGAGAGGACACAAACTTAAATTTGATCTTCTAAAATATTAAGCAAGTTTCTGAGCTAGCCCCCTCAAACAGACTAGGGAAAGCACAGCTCTACATTTACTACTTGAGCAAACTCCAAAGTCATTCCAAACTGCTCCAGGGAAAAAAAAAAAAAGATATTAAGAAAATCTATTTATCAGCCATTACTAAAATACTTTACTTTCAGCTACAGTGTTATGACAAAGCTTACTTATTGCACCTAGAAGACAAAATTCTCATGGCTGGAGGGAAAGATCTTGATTTTTCAAGCAGAAAATAAAAAGGAAGAAAGCTATCCAACATGACATATCCATGAAAGAGGTCATGGTTTAAAAGCATAGAGACTTCTAAATTAACATTAATAAACGCTGAAATGTGACTGATGGTATATGCAGACTGAACTGGAACATACTTTGTGTTTCCCACCCAATGTCTGGAGCTCCCTGCTGAATCCCAGCTACCAATTCCCAGTGTCGATTATACAGACAAACAGAACATTCCAGTGTCATACCCTACCAAATGTCATTAATCGAACTCATGTGCTTCAGGAAACATAGTCACCACTGCAGACAACAAACAATACCTGGTCAGTGTAGCATGAAGTCAAACCACAGCTCATGGCATCAGGTTATTGCAGTCTTGACAGAGCTCAGATAGTATTTATTTAAAGCTTTCTGCCCAAAAGTTAACTTTTGTTTTTTAATCTTCAAGAGACTGTAAATCTGCAGGTGCTGAACTAACTTCAACTCTTGGTGGATAAACGCAATAGTCAAAGGGAGCCAAGTCCCAACCCTGTCTGCAGGAAAGGCACAGGCTCCTGTGCTGAGAAAGGTAACGGCCAGGTGTCCAACCTAACGCCACAAAGGACATCAGCGAGGCAGACATCCCTACAGCAGTAGGCAGTATCATCTGTTTGGAAGTTAGTCTCTTCATAAATAACCAATAATATGAAAATCAAGCAAATTTTCCATGTCTTTGATAATCTTGCATACAACATGTTATAAGACGAGAGTTAGGGGACATCCCATGCGACCAGAATTGTTCTCATCTCCTGACCCTTTTGCACCTTCAGAAACAATTGCCTGAAGAACTACAGACAGGTGGTCCATCAAGAGAAAGACATTCAGTATCAATTACGGGCAATAATTCTCTGCCCTTTCCTCAACACATACACCTTGGGCATGACACCAATTTCCATTCTCTCCATGGTCTGCTTCTATTACCGATACACAGAACAGCAGCAACATCTCAGTAAACTGTCAGTGTGAGTTTATTCCTGTAACCATATTTTTCTAAGGGTTTTCTTCAAATTAATTCCCTGTCCCTATTACTAGATTCAGTCTGCCTAAGAGTAACATGCTGCCTTTTTATGCGTATGATCAGAGGTAGCAGAAGCTAATTCCTTACAAAAATAGGAGAGAATATCTGTGTGCTCTCCTACTATCTGCAGAAGGTGAACTCAGCAAAGAATATATGTTTTCTTTTACTCAGTAGAGCATCACGTCTGATACATCATTCTCCTCCTCTTCCTGTTCCTCCAGTTTTTGTCAATTAATTTTAGATAATTTTCTATTATGTTTATTCAAAAGAACTGTTAGAAAATCCAGAGTTTTATGCAGATTCTTTATGAAATCTGTCTTCAAGACCTCCCAGCCACTCTCCTCCCCATCAACTCCTATTTATGATTCGGGCTTGTAGATATTCATTTTGTCTTTCAAATAGGATGCTTTCTGAGGTGTCACTGGTATTTAAAGAACTATCCATTTCCACTTGTGAACTTTGCTTTGGTAGAGAATACAAAACTCCACATTTGTCACCTCTTTTTGGTGACAGCTTTACCAAACTTCCCACAAAGTTAAGATGTTTTATTTAATCTTTTCTTCCTAATAGCTGTTTCCATTTCTGTAATTAGGGCACTACAAGCTGATGCTGTCTCCAAAGAGGAAACGCAGTATTTACAAGCAACTTGAAAATACTGCTTGAGCCTTTGAGAAATACTTCTCTGCCATTGTATATCCTCTCTCGTCAAGTGCTTGTGTAGTCTGGTTTGAAAACTAAACCATGGAGAGAGAAAAGAAACTAACAAAAATCCAAAACCGATAACCCAACAACAGTTACACTTCAGATAACAAATTCCAAGAGCAGACATAGAGATTTGCTTGAAAGAACAGCTCTGCTAGTGGATGCTTCACCCCAGCCACTGCATCGGCTTGTACTGAGAAATTGCAGCAGTAGCAGCAGAACATCAGTTATTCAAAGCCTAAGCAAGAGGATCAGCAAGTAACAGTGCATCCTGATTCTGAGTGGTGCAGCAGGTTTTATTGATTCTTAAGGTTATCCACCTTCAAATACATCAACTAAAAAGGCTCTGCATCTCATGCTTCTACAGCTTGCTGCATCAGATATTCTTGTATCATTCCATATGTTGGAAGTGTATTTCAAGAGAGCAGCAAGATACATGAATATGATCCCAGAGAGATTAAATGAATACTCAAAGCTTTATGTGATGGTACATTGACAAACCCACTTCCTCCTGTGGCTAGTTCATTATTGAAATGCCACTTGTAGTATCACAGTTCAAGAGTAATTTGAATTTCGCATTAATTGAAGGCATTTGATCTCCATCTCAGCTACGGAAAATGTCGACTCCTGAAGAATAACTATGCTAAGAGATCTAAACTGGAATCTAATAAACTTGGACTCAGAACAGCCACCTTGGGGAACCTTACACAGAGCATCACTTAAACAGTGAAACATTTTGTAAGAATAACTCCATCACTGCAAACTTGCCATTTGCTTCAAACACATTAAAAAATGTCTTTAGGTGGTACCAAGCCTAGATTATACCTAAAGATTTACTTTTCTGAAGGGAAAATGGAAGAAAAGGAGAAAAGGCTAAGATTTTAAGTACGAACTGTTCTTTCCACGTACACAAACACAAGCTGCCCTTAGATCACCTTTTCAAAGAGAGACACTTACTTCCTACCATTTTCAATGACTGAGATGAGTCTCTGCTTTAGAAAAGGCTATCTTCTCTGATATACTCTTATTGTGAGCAGTTGGAGACAGCTACCATTATTAAGGAGAGTAATTCTTAAGAGAATTTCTTGAACAGAGATTTTATATACCAGCCTCTTCCAAGAGATAAACTACTGGCTATGGAAAATCATAGCAGAAGTGTAATTCCAAGTACTTATGCTCAAAAGCTCTCCGTGGCAACTACTCTAATCAAAAGAGAGGGTAACAAGGGAAACGAGAGAGAAGGCATCTGAGCGTGTATGTACCAACACACAGAGTAGAATGGAGGCATTGCAGGGTGGCATAAAATTGGTGTGCACGCTCATCGCTAAAGAGGCCTACAGTGAGCGAAGGAGGAAGAAAATTAGGAAAGAAGAGCACCTTGAGCAATACTGACCAGCAGCAACAAGGCAGCGAGCCCCTGCAAATGCAATTCAGCTGCTGAGGACATTATGGGGAGCCTAACGTAACATACCTGAATTCATGCTTGGGAAAGTCAGCAGTACGGTTTAAGGCTGGCACTTTGAATCTTCAGATCATTAGCTTCATAATTATTAACTTAGTAATGCTTTCTATGGAAACCGTCTTACTTTTTTCCTCAGGCAAATTACACACTAAATAACCCAAGGAGTATCTAAACAAAGACTGTAATTAAAATGAAAGCTTGCTTTAATAATGTACATTAGTAATTAAAAGCAAAGCATCTGAGCACAAAGCTTTTTCAGCCTTTGGTTTTGACATGTCATTCCCTGACAATCAGGGATTAGTGGGCTAATTCTGAGAGGTTTGTCTACGGCAGCTAAGAAAAGCCTGTCCTCAGCAGGCTGAAATGTGTTATGCAGGAGTTTGCATTTCCAGAGGAAAACACTTAGGGGTCGAACTCTTCTGAAAAACTCAAAACCACGGCATGAATCTGGCAACCTTGGTTATGATAAACCTTATTTTGGAAATATGTGACAAAGGCCCTTGAAAAATTTTAGCTCCATTCTGCAATGATATTTGAAAAAAGAGCAGGAAAGGTGATACCTCAAGGTAAGTTTAATACAGCTGCATGGCCACAAGCACTAATATAACTTAACTGTGCATCACATCATGACAGCACAGAGACAGGCTGAATTTTGGTGTGGCGTTTTGTATTTCCATATTACAGCTTGTTTCAATTACTTCAAAGGTTAACATCAGTTCTCAATTTCAAGGGTTTTAATCCTTAGCTTGTGCAATGTCTCTGCTATACAGATTGATTTACCTACAAAATAGACTCTCTTTTGACTTGAGACACAGCAGGTGTAATCCTGGTCAATGATGGAGAAAAGTCTGTGGAAATGTCAAACCACTCATGGGATGATGAGTGGAAGTGGGTGAGGAGGATACAGATAAGGACTTTTTATAAAAAGTTTAATTCAGAAATAACAAAACCACTTCAAACTGTTGAGCACTGTTAAAATCCTGTCTCATTAATTCGGAAGAGGTGAAGGACCTGCTTTGTTGATTGCAGTTGTGATTTCCAAAAAGACCTATGCAAATTAAGGATATCAAACAAACCTTCATTTACAATTGTCC